TGCTGCCGATCAATATCAACTTCCAGAAATGAAATTATGAAGTCTTGTATATACATACACAAGTCACGCTAAACAAATGCAACCAACAAACTCCATCGCCACAGCAACACCACCACAACACCACCTCAACACCACCACCACAACACAACCACCACAACACAACCACCACAACACCACCACCACAACACCACCTCAACACAACCACCACAACACAACCACCACAACACAACCACCACAACACCACCACCACAACACCACCTCAACACAACCACCACAACACAACCACCACAACACCACCTCAACACAACCACCACAACATCACCTCAACACAACCACCACAACACCACCTCAACACAACCACCACAACACAACCACCACAACACAACCACCACAACACCACCACCACAACACCACCTCAACACAACCACCACAACACAACCACCACAACACCACCTCAACACAACCACCACAACATCACCTCAACACAACCACCACAACACCACCTCAACACAACCACCACAACACAACCACCACAACACCCCTTCAACACAACCACCACAACACCCCTTCAACACAACCACCACAACACAACCACCACAACACCCCTTCAACACAACCACCACAACACAACCACCACAACACCACCGCCCCAACAGCCGTGGGGACGTGAGGAAAGACTTGAGTGTAAGGTCAGTATGCAGAGGTACCAACTAGACGGGGAAATAGTAGTTTAGGCTCAGTCCTGCGCACTGTTAGGCAGGCAGTGTTAGGTTAGTACCAGACACATTTGAACATTGACAGAATAAGGAAAAATTACAAAAGTTAAAATATTTATGGAAAAAGTTGATCTGCTAAAACCAACTTGAGGCAGATCAAAGGTTTTGAGTTTATGGTGGCATTTTGTTTTCATTCCTACCCTCGTGAATATGTAGAGTATATGTATATATGTCGTATTTAACTGTCAGAGTTGTCTAACAAGCCGAATTTTCCTGAAATATTAAATGTTTAAAACATTTTCTCTCATGGAATGATATATTTTCGCTGTGTTATATATTATTTTTATATTTTATTTGGGTCAATACTGACAGAATTTTTACCAAACTTAACTATGACCTACGTAGCCTATCTTAACCCAGCATAACTGAGTAATTCATGTTCTTAATATATTAATATTGTTAGAAATGAACCAAATTGGAAAGAAATATTTTGAAAATGTCGAAAATCGCATTGCCTGTTAAGCAACCCAGCCTTGCTAGGAAGCCTAGTAGTGCGGTTTAGGCTGTAAAATCCGACATCTAACTTTATCTATACAAGAGGATTGCTGTGTATGGTGGAGGCTTGGGGCCAGACGGTTCAGACATTATCGTATCTCATGCTAAGTCTCGTGGAACTTAAGCTTTTGAATTGTGATTACATGGCCAGTGTCATTGGGGGGGGGAGGGTTGAGGGGGTCTCTCATGCCCGTCTTTAAAGAGTATTCGCTCCCATTGCAAAAACCCACGACTCCTAAGAAGCCGAAAATGTGGGTTTGATTTTCCACAGTGTTTTTTAACTTATTTCTCGGCTGTTATCACCTTGGAATCAACGAGGGAAGGGAATTATGAGGAGAAAGCGCCAAGCCATTATAGCACTTGAAAGGAGTCAGGATAAGGATTTGGGATGGGACGGGGGTGAAGGAATGGTGCCCAACCACTTGACGGTCGGGGATTGAACGCCGACCTGCTTGAAGCGAGACCGTCGCTCTACCGTCCAGCCCAAGAGGTTGAGCACCATCCCTTCCCCCAATCCTATCCCAAGTCCTTATCCTGATTCCTTCCCAGTGCTACATAGTCGTAATGGCCTGGCGCTTTCCCCTGATAGCTTCCTTCCCTAGTTGATTCGACGGCGATAACTTATTTAATTTATTTATTATGCACCCCATACCCACCTCGTGGGCGGTGGTGGAAAGGGTTACATAGACACATAATGGGAACTAGCCAAAAAGTACCTAATTTCATCGTCATAGTGTCCAATCTTGTGCTTTAACATTGCACTGTATCTAGTGCAACCCAATCCTCCAATCTTTATGTACCTAATCCAAATAACTTTATCCTTGTGATCATTGCTGTTTTTCTTATATGTGATATCAATATGCTGTATTGTGCCTATTAATCTTTGTTAAATTACAAATCAAGCTGTCAATGCAATTAATCAGAGATACCGATGTGCTTTAATATAGCCACTAATCTCTCTCATCTCATTTTTTTTCTTGCAATGTACCTTTTATCACTTTATAAATTTTGCTAGAATTTACCTACTTAAAATTATGTTAGATTAAGGACCTGCCCGAAACGCTGAGCGTACTAGTGGCTTTACAAGAATGTTAACACCATGCTGTGTATCCTCACAAACCCCATGTACCTTCTTGTATATATATAAATACCATGCCCAAGATTACCAACAGAGTGCCGGCAGGGGGATGGAAATAGCCTCGGCTACCATCCTCTTTTGTCCGGTCGTGTTGGTCGAGTGGTTAAGGGATCTTGTACGCCAGCAGAGTGCTCCTGGCAGTATGGGTTTGAGTCACTTCTGGGGTGTGAGTTTTCAGTTGCATATAGTCCTGGGGACCATTCAGGCTTGTTTGCATTTGTGTTCCTCACGTGTGCCCCAAAGAATGAGGTGATTTGATAAAATACCATGCCCAAGATTACCAACAGAGTGCCGGCGGGGGGATGGAAATAGCCTCGGCTACCATCCTCTTTTGTCCGGTCGTGTTGGTCGAGCGGTTAAGGGATCCTGTACGCCAGCAGAGTGCTCCTGGCAGTATGGGTTCGAGTCACTTCTGGGGTGTGAGTTTTCAGTTGCATATAGTCCTGGGGACCATTCAGGCTTGTTCGCATATATATATATATATATATATATATATATATATATATATATATATATATATATATATATATATATATATATATATATGCAACAATGATCACAAAAACACTGATCCAAGTATGCAGAATAACCACATATGAAAAATAGAAAATGCTTAACGCGTTTTCGGCTAATTCGCCTTCATCAGAGCAAAGTAGAATGATTTATTATTCTATTTAGTATTTATATATATATATATATATATATATATATATATATATATATATATATCATATGCGGAAAATCCACAGAGAAATATGAAATGAGGTGAACGTTTCGGCTTTGTTAAAGCCTTTGTCAACACCAGACTGGTGTTGACAAAGGTGAGTCTGGTGTTGACAAAGGCTTTAACAAAGCCGAAACGTTCACCTCATTTCATATTTCTCTGTGGATTTTCCGCATAAAATGATCAGTGTTTTGTGATCGTCAGTTGCATATATATCATATATATATATATATATATATATATATATATATATATATATATATATATATATATATATATATATATATATATATATATATATATATATATATATATATATATATATATATATATATATATATATATATATATATATATATATATATATATATATATATATATATATATATATATATATATATATATATATATATATATATATATATATATATATATATATATATATATATATATATATATATATATATATATATATATATATATATATATATATATATATATATATATATATATATATATATATGATAGTGTTAGACCACGGAGGAAGAATTGAAACAGGAATTTCCTTAAAGTACTTTTGCATATTAGGGGCCAAGAGAAGGGATTTTTTAAATTTGTTCAATGTCAACCAATATTTTTTGACTAGATGTATATGAAAAGGGCTGCAATTGCTCCAAGGTTCAGTACTGCATCGTAAATAGAAAGGGAGATTTAATTTTTTTTGTTTTTTTTCAAACGAATATTACACATTTTCAAGTGAGTTTATATCATGAAACGTGTGGTTGTAGAATCATTCTATGACACTTTTCTGACACATTAAAATATAATAAAGGATTGGAAGCCGGGGATTTTCCAAAACATGTTTAGTTTTTCTAATACAAATAGTCAAAGTTACCCCCCTCCCCCCGAAAAAAGGCAAATATATCATGTTTATTGCTATTATAAATCAATTTAGGAAAAACTGCTGGATTCCGATTTTTGAGACATAAACTTTACATATAAGGTGTAAGTTTCATGTAAATTGAATAAAAAATGAAAGTTATACAACGTTTATGTTACTTGACAATAAATACGTAAAAAATAAAGTTTTACTTATTCGAGGGTGCTGCCATCTGTGGCTGAGGGTGACATCAACCAATTTCCTCCAAAATTGGCACCCTTACAGATAGGCTTTCGCGCAGTCAGGTGTATAAGTTTCATGCAAATAGTCCGATAAACAAATAAGAAAAATAAAATTGAAAAAACAAAAAAATTTAACTTAATTTTTTTAATAAAACTATAATTTTTTTAATATATGCTATTGTGATAGCTGAGAGTCATAGGCATGATTTCAGTTGACACTTGTGTTCGATAATCGTGTTTGACCATTTTGGAAAATCGTTGACACATAATTCCATATTTTTTTTTCTCTCTTCATATTTTATGCTACGATGCTGAGACTTGGACCAGATGAAACCCTTTTCGTATACAACTCGTCAAAAAAGTTTGATTGAAATCGAACCAGTTTTCATTTATTGCATATTTGGAACTCTTGCCCCCCCCCCTTAATATATCTTCAGAAGGAATTCTTCTGAAGATGTATTAATATACGAAAGTATTTAAGGAAATTCCAGTTTCAATTCTTCCTCTGTGGTCTGACACTGTCACATTTTTCATCACGTGTTAATTTTCGTGATTTACACACACACACACACACACACACACACACACACACACACACACACACACACACACACACACACACACACACACACACACACACACACACACACACACACATATATATATGCGGTGTGGGGGGAAAAGGTATTAGTAAGGAAAATTGGGCAAAGGGATAGAAAGGGATGGAGCGTGGTGGTTGACTAACCTGGACGCAGGCAGGGTTGGGATATACGAGGTCCTTATAACAACGATTCATCCACGCCTCTGGGAAGACCTGCCCATCCTCACTCTGCCCCGCCATCCCCATGATCACACTGACACCACTGGTGGGAACCCTCGCTTAATACCGTGCTGGAACAAGCGCGGTAAGCGCACCTCCGCTGGCGTTTACCTCGCTGGAATAAGCACGTTCGCCAGTTCTCTAGATGTCTGCAAAACATAACTGGAGTTAATTATGTGACATAGTAAGTTGGAGTTTCTGCATTTACACATTACTTTTTAGTTATTAAATAAAATATAATACAAAGTATACGGACGGTGTAGAAACCAAATATATTGGAGTAATGGGGTTCAATATATACGAATGTGGGTTTGTCGTTAGTACTACGAATAGTGCTTGTATTTGACAGTACGCATGGGGTCTGTTGCCAACACTACAGTTGGAAGTACATATGGCATATTGCTAGCACTTATGGAGTCTTCCGTTGGTACCATGTACGTGGATTACTGTGGGCTTCGGCTATCAAGTACAGATTGGCTTAGCATTGGTGGCAAGGAGGTATATAGTCGATGATAATGCGTATGTGGCTTTCTGTTTAAGCATCATATGCTATCCCGCTGATGGAATGAAATGACAGTAGTTGAGTCAGCTTTTCTAAGCACAACTTGCGGTGAGCGAAGGCTTGCTCCACTCCACTGGTGAGATGAGTCTATAGAAGGTGAAGGAAGACCCAATATTTATGTAAGTGTATTAAAAACCAAATTTTCGGATGTAACCTGCATCCTTTCTCATATTGTGCATGTGTAGTGTTCAACATTGTACACACAGCAGGCATGTCAAACTGAGGGTCCCCTGAGGGACCACAGGTGTGCTTGCATACGAGCCGCAGGTGTGCTTGCATACGGGCCGCAGGTGTGCTTGCGTGTGGACCGCAGGTGTGCTTGCATGTGGGCCGCAGGTGCTTGCATGTGGGCCGCAGGTGTGCTTGCATGTGGGCCGCAGGTGTGCTTGCATGTGGGCCGCAGGTGTGCTTGCATGTGGGCCGTCATCAAATGTGAGTGGTGCTGAGCATAATGCAAAGTGGTGTTCAAAAGATGAGAAATCACGAAATCTTTCCATAAATTCCTTTACTGGAAAAAACAATTCCAGGTGACTGTCATACTAAGCAAAGCTAAGTACAGACTCAGTATTGGCAGTTTTCAGCTCTTTGCACTTAGGAAAATGAACTAAATTTTCATTTGAGAAATGTGAATTCCATAAGCTTAGTTTTGTAATGAAGCACTTGATGTTATCCTACAACTGAGTGATGAGTTTGTTTTTATCTTGTAATTTCAAATTAAGAGCAGTTAATTGTTCAGTTATGTCCACAGCAAAACCCAGATGATCCTGGAGCCAACTTTCATCTTTTATTTCCTCTGTGTTTTGACCTTTCATCTCCAAAACCATAATTATTTCTTGTCTCAACAAATAAAATCTTTTAAACACTTTGTAACATGACAACCAGCGGACTTCTGTGACGGTTGGAACATCGTTAAACTGATTATCCAATTTTCCAACAACTGGCAGAATTGGTGGTGGTTGAGAGCTCGGCCTCTGATGTAGTTCACTGTCTTTGTGACCAAACTAACCACATAATCCAATTTTTAAATCATTGAACACAAATTTTGCTGGTGAATAATGCATTGACAATGTGCAAATGATGAATTTGGATGCCAGTTTTCTATTTTTCTTCGTAACTTGGCAGCAACACCATTGTCTGCCAACCATATTGGCAGCACCGTCGGTAGCAAGGTAACTCAAATCCACACAAGTCATGCAGAACCTGCTCGACTTTCTCAAAGATGTCCTGGCTTGCTGTAGTGTCATGCATGGGGAACAGTTCAAGCAGTTCTTCATAAATATTAATTACAATATCACAGACCCTGATGAAGACCGCAAGCTGCGCTATTCCAGTGATGTCAACGGTCTCATCTAAAGTAATAGAAAAATGTTCAAATCTTGATGATACGGCCTTCAACTGTTGTTTCAGATCACCTGACATTTCATCAATCCGTTCAGCAGCAGTGTTCCTGGTTATTGAAATATCTTTGAATAAGTGTGCTTTACCTGGTTAATACCTGGTTGATGGGGTTCTGGGAGTTCTTCTACTCCCCAAGCCCGGCCTGAGGCCAGGCTTGACTTGTGAGAGTTTGGTCCACTAGGCTGTTGCTTGGAGCGGCCCACAGGCCCACATACCCACCACAGCCCGGTTAGTCCGGCACTCCTTGGAGGAATAAATTTAGTTTCCTCTTGAAGATGTCCACGGTTGTTCCGGCAATATTTCTTATGCTTGCTGGGAGGACGTTGAACAACCGCGGACCTCTGATGTTTATACAGTGTTCTCTGATTGTGCCTATGGCACCTCTGCTCTTCACTGGTTCTATTCTGCATTTTCTTCCATATTGTTCACTCCAGTACGTTGTTATTTTACTGTGTAAATTTGGTACTTGGCCCTCCAGTATCTTCCAGGTGTATATTATTTGATATCTCTCTCGTCTTCTTTCTAGTGAGTACATTTGGAGGGCTTTGAGACGATCCCAATAATTTAGGTGCTTTATTGCGTCTATGCGTGCCGTATATGTTCTCTGTATTCCCTCTATTTCAGCAATCTCTCCTGCTCTGAAGGGGGAAGTGAGTACTGAGCTTTCTCTGGATAGACAACTTGAGCCGTTTTTACAAGGCATTGCTTTACGAAATTTCCTTCTCTGTAAGATTTCCCACTCATGGCGATCATTGGGCTGAGTTCACAGCTTGCACTAACGGAAGCCACATTCCCTTTCTCAATTTTCGTAAAACAGGTCAGTTGCTGTCTCAAGTTAGCCTTCAATTCCTAGAGTCTTGAGACCCGCACTGGACCTTCATAATTATCGTAAGATCGATGATTCGTTTAATAATCTCTTTTCAAGTTGTACTCTTTGGGTGTGGGAATGCTGTTGTTGCAAATTAAACAATGTATCTTTCCATTCACCGTTGAGCAAAAATACAGTAATTCCCGTTTTTCTTGAAACACTCGCTCTCCTTCGTTCAGTTTCCTTTTTTCCTACTGGAGGAGCATTTGACATTTTAAAGATGATATGGAATCTGAAAAAAAATCATCGCTTAAAAAACTGAAACGAAGTTTAGGCTCGCTTAACAGTTAACGTCATGTCTATTTTTAGAAGTGTTAACTCGCTTGCCTCACAGCTGCATTCGTGTTTCTGTTATGCTTCTGAAATTTATTAAAAGGTGATAGCTTAAATGATAAAAACTGCAATTTTGGCCGTTAATTGATCAAATTATAGTATCTTTTGTGCAGGCCACAGGTGTGCTTGCATGCGGGCCGCAGGTGTTCGTGCATGTGGGCCGCAGGTGTGCTTGCATGCGGGCCGCAGGTGTGCATGCATGTGGGCCGCAGGTGCTTGCATGTGGGCCGCAGGTGTGCTTGCGTGTGGGCCGCAGGTGTGCTTGCATGTGGGCCGCAGGTGTGCTTGCATGTGGACCGCAGGTGTGCTTGCGTGTGGGCTGCATGTTTACATGCCTGAATTATTCAGCACCATGAGAAAGGATGCAGTTTACATCCAAAAATTAGGTTTTTAATACACTTACACATATACTGAGTCATTCCTTCACTTTACTCAAGCACTAGGGGCATTGTAATAAGTTTCTTCATGGGTCTATTCTCATCAGCTTGAATTACAAGGGAAAACCTGGCTTTCTATAAGCGAACCAAGTGAGTCATGGTAAAAGATAGGTCCAAGTGCTGGAACCTTTAAGTCACTTAACACTTTAGTCAAGTGAGGGAGAAATCGGATACCTTCAAAGCTCTCTTCATTTTTTCAGCCTCAGATCTAATTACAGATGTCTATAAATTTAACTTCCCAATTTTTAAATTGTTAAATTTTGCCCTGAGGGGCGAGTTTATTGGGTAGCGCCACTCATCCTGTGAGTGGACATACAGCCATAACAGCATGTACAACACTCCCCAGTTGGAAGAAAACCCGCTGGGTTGTTCATCCTGTCACTTGTAACCAGACACAGCTGGGACTTGCTTAACTGTCTCAAATGAACAGCTCCTCAAACAAGAAGATTAACATCAGTCAACCTTTAAAATCTTACGATATCTTGCGAGTGCAAAATGGGGGAATTTTTTAAGAACAGTATCTATGTTTCACAAATAGTGTTTTCCTAACTCAAACTCAAACAATGTGGGGTTTATTATTTTACACATATTTCTAATGTCTCTCACGTGTTCACATTATCTCAGGTAGTGGTCAAGGCGGTGTCCGTCACTCTCATTACAGATTCTGCAACTCCGCTGCTCAACTGTTGTTTCTATCTCGATCTCCATGGATATTTGTATCCAAGACGGATTCTCGCTATTACTGATTCTCTCCCGCGGCCACCTCCTCTTCGTCCATAATGATTGGGATTGCCAGCTGCAACCATGTTGTACCATCGTACAGATTCGCTGATTTGTGCTTCTATCCTCCTTTCCTCAGTTATCTAGTCACGGTGATGTTGCCTGACAATACCTCTAATTTGTAGCAGAGTCTTGGGTATGAAGTATTCAATATGGTCTCCTTAAGCACCTTCAGCAGCCAGCACATCTGCTCGTTCATTCCCACATATTCCAACATGGGAGGGGATCCACAGAAACTTGACGACTCTTCCTTGGTTGATTAGTACCCTCACAGCTCTCTTAATTTCAGCGACTATCGCAAGATTTTCTGCCCGATTTTTACTTAGGCTTTGTAACGCTGCTTTTGAATCAGTGCAGATCACTGCTCCATTAGTGTTTCGTTTAAGGAATATTAACGCCATAACAATGGCAACTAGCTCTGCTTGCGTTGAAGAGGCATAGTTCTCAATACGTGCTTTTTCTTCATTTCTACGTTGAAAGGCATTATTCCTAATTACCGTGTATGCTGCACCAGCCCTGCGATTGATAGAATTAGATGACCCGTCAGTGTAGATTTGATATAGTTCATTTCCGGCTTCTTTATAAAATTTCCCGAGAAACTTTTGCCTCATTTCTTGTGGTATCATATTGTATTTTTTCGTTACCATTTCATTGATGATAATCCTGCATGAGTCATCCTCCCAGGGAGGTAACCTCTCTACAGGCAGGAGCTCAAGTTCTTGTTTAACCAAGTGAAGTTCTTTGAGGTAGCAAACTGATCTGTGATGCCAT